GGCGGGCACCCTGGGAGGGAGAGCAGAAGTACTACCCTGACATCACAGGGGAGGGCCGGAGGCCTCCCACGGCCAGCGCCCCTAAAAGGGAGCCCACGTTGCTTTCCATTTACAGGGGGCTGGGGCACATGGGGAAGAAGGGGCCTAGCAATGTCTTTTAGGAGACCATGTTGGGAGAGGGAGGAGCCCCAAAGTGTACCCCACAGTGGCCCAGCAATAACTGGTCAAGAAACACCCCTAGGGCCTTTAGTAGGAGCGGACTCTAGGCCCTGAAGCCATGAGCAGTCGGCCAGGCAGCAGGCTGGCAGCGCCCGGTGTGTACTTCTAGCTCCGAGTATCCCTCCCTTTGCTCCCCGCAGGGGAAGAAGAAGAGGCGCTCGAGGGAGAAGCACCAGGAATCTACCACAGGTAAGGCCTTGCCTCGGAAGGAGTGGAGGCTGCTCTCCGTGCCCCCATTTCCAGACCAGCCCTGCTGGTCATTCACTGCCTCTGAAAACAAGGCCTGCACCTTATGAGTCCAGTTTCTCTGCCAAGCGCAGCTGTGCCAGTCCCGTGAGACCAGTGGAGGCTGACTCATTTGGCAGGTGGTGTGTCCCTGCCACCTTTGCCAGCCCTGTTCACAGCTGGCCTCTCCCAGAGAGCTTAGGAAGTAACTGTGGCTCCACGCCTAACTGCATTGCACCCTGCCTAGGCCTACTGAGGTGGGCAGCAGGAGTGGGCTGTGGGGCCTGGCAGCTTCTCCGTCACTACTTCCTGTCCTGCCATTTCTCAGGGCAATTCAAAGCACTCTAGAGGATTCAGGGAGCCCATATGCTGCTGCAGGCCTTCCTGTGAGCCAATTCCTGAGGATTCCAGACTCCACATCCATGACTCTTAGTTGTGCTGGCCCATTCCTAGCTTGCAGCTTTGCTGTGTAGATGCAGCAGGTGGGGAGGTGGTAGGCTGCTCCAGAGCAGAGCCCCCACGCCACCCTGAAACAGCCCGAGATCCCTCTGCAGTCTTCCATCCCGCCATCCTTCCCACTCTGCTGCCCGGTAGGGAATTCGCCTTTCCTGACACCTTGCTGTGGGCCCTAGGGCTCTCACTGGGGCTGGCTGTGCCCTGGAGAGGTCCACTCTGCCTGTGGGGTCTGTGGGGTGTCTGTAACTGGCTAACACTGATGTTACCTCTTCTTTCTGGGCCCTGCTCTGCCCTGCTGCCTGCCTGCCTGCCTCCTCGCCCTCTGCCATTCTCTGCCTCTCTGGCATGGCTGTAAGCAGACCCTGGCTCACCTAAGAAATGCCGTGCTCGCTTTGGCCTCAACCAGCAGACGGATTGGTGTGGTCCGTGCAGGTGGGTTTGTCCCCACCATCCTCCCCCGTGCTTTAAGCTGCTTCCCTGACTGCACGTGTTCTGCTGGGCCTGCAGCCCCCTCCTCAGCCCCTCAGGTTCCCCTATCTCCTGGGCACGCTAGGGGCCATGTCCTAAGAATGTCAGTGGGCACGGGACGTAGCTTGGAGAGAAAGTCGCTTGGTTCTAGGTAGGAAAGCAAACTCAAGACAGGTGCTTCCGGTGCTAGCCAGAGTTAGCAGGCCCTCAGCAGAAAAGCCTCATGTTCGGCTCAGGGGGCCTGCCCCCCCCCTGCTTCCAGACTTCAGTCACGGGCTGCCAGCTTCACTTCTTCATAGTGGAACCCCTCCCTATACAGGCCTGAGTCCTTCAATCTGAGGTTAAAAAGAGGGTGACCTCAGAGAACCAATTAAATGACCTGGATGCCACCAGCCATGACGTTGCTATCTTGTGCTTCCTGAGACCAGAGGGGTCGGGGAGAGCAGCGGTGAATACCTGCGGGCGTGAAAAGCTTTACCTGCCAAGTGGTTAAAACTGCCTCGTTGAGGTTGAGACCAGGCCTTAGCAGGGCCAACACTGAGGGAACTGCAGTAACTAAGGTCAGTGGCTCTGAGGAGCTGTGTCCAGCCCTTCCAAAGGAGGACTTGGTCACAGGGCCAGGAGTATTGTGTGCATTGTGCACAGTGGGAAGCAGCAGTGTCCTCAGAAGCCTTATTCCGTCCATCCATACTACTCAGAACAGTGTGAGCCCGAGAACTCTCGGGTGGTAATGGATGAGCCACACCGCCCATTTCATCTTCTCTTCACCCAGCTCCAATGGCTGGCATCGCTCACCCCCCCCCAAAGTCATAGGCACTGTAGCCCCCTTGTTTTAATGCAGATCTCGCTAGTCTCATGGGTCCTGCAGATCTGAGTCCCACAAACACATGATGCCTAAGTTCAGAGACACACCGGATGCCTCTCCTGGAAAACCACAGGCAGCCCATGAGCCTAGCAAGAGGCGCCCTCTGCCACCTTGTGGATGTCCTGGGAACTGCACCCCATAGGCCTGGGCCAGGCCCTGGGTTGTAGGGCTGATTCAGGTCTGAAGGCACAGGCATGCCACCCAAGTCCTGGGGAGAGGGGCAAGAGGTCAGCCAGGCCTGTGCAAGGACAGCATTTTTTGGTTGTGGTGTATGACTATGAATTCACCCTCTGTTTACAGATAACTCTCTTCACTATTCCTAGGAGGAAAAAGAAATGCATTCGGTACTTACCCGGAGAAGGCCGCTGCCCCAGTCCCGTTCCTTCCGATGACAGTGCTCTAGGCTGCCCCAACTCCCCAGATCCCCAGGACTTGCCCTCATACCTTCTGCCACCCCACTTCCCCACAGAACCGCTTGCTAGCCCTGTGGACCCTGCACCAACATCCCCAGGTCTCTCTGCTGCTCTCAGCCTCCCAGCCCTTGGACCCTCACAGGCCCCGTGCAGCACCCTGCAGAGCACACAAGTTCAGCAACAGGAATCTCAGAGACAGGCAGCCTAGCACACACAGGACACCAGGCCCCTGGGTGCCTCCTCCAGGGGCATAGGCCCAGCCCTGAGAGGGAGCGCAGAGGCCCTTTTAACCCCTCAGCATCCAGGCCAAGAGGCTAAACAACTGCGTGAACCTGAGGCCATCAATTGAACGCTCCAGTCTGTCAGCCATGTCATCTCATTAAGGACACCCTGGTGACTGCGGCAAGCTGCATCTGTTTTAACAATCAGATGCCTCTGCCTTCCTTGCTTTTCTGCTGTAGGTCATAAATGGACTGGACAGAGCCCACCTACCTTCGCTACCAGTGCCTCTCCTGTCCCCCTCTGCCATACCCTCCCCATATCAGACACTTCATGGACCACGAATGACCTGGTTTATCAAACGTGAGCATGGCAACAACCACAAAGCTCAAAAAGACAGCGGGTCTCCAGGGCCTGGAGAAGCCCTATGTACAGAAAACCAGCTGCTATCTATATGCTAGATAGCTGGACTAGAGTGAAGCCTTCTACCATGTTCTCAGGAATTTGTAAGAGGAACAGGGCATGGAGTAAGTTTAGGCCCATCCACAAGGCAATGAGAATAGCTGAACCCTGTCCTATCAGGCTAGCGTGGGTGGTGGTGGCTCTTGTTCAGATTACTTGGAAGTTTCCTAAGAAGCTCTGAAAACAAGGCCGCAGGCACAAAGAGACAGGCTGCTTAGTATCAACAGCTGGACAAAGTATGGCCCAACTCCAGTGTGTATCCCTCTGGTTAGGGTTCTTTTTTTCAGATTCACTTCAGCTTATCAGTGTGGGTGGAGCCAACTCTTAGGCAGCTGAGGGCAAACCTCGACTTCCAACACCAGCTTTTCCAGCATTCAGAGCAGTCAGCTTCAGTATTCCCTTAGGACCGCAGGCAGGACCACTGCAACTAAGGCTGAGTCCAGAAACCGCTGGGGATGGGTGCAAGTTTTTTTTACCAGCCTGCCCTGACCCATTTTGAGCCAAGCTTCAACCCTGAGCCTTGAAAAACAAGTCTTTTTTAATTTAATTTTTTTTGGGGGGGGGCCTCCTCACTGTACGTAACCTGAAGCCAAAGAAAAAGGGCTGTCTCTGTATTCACACATATCCCTCAATAAAAGCCTTTAGTCCCCCATGCAGAATCCAAAGCTCACATATTCTAGTATAGTGTTGCAACAAATTTTAGAAAAATGGATCGATGTAGCAAAGTATTTTTATATTGTTAATGCATTACCATAGAAAAAAATTTTTTTAAATGAGAATAAAGATACTTTTTATTGGGTCTGTTTCAAAGCCTGATCCTGAAGAACAAGCTGTTTCAATAACAGAGCATGGCATTCAACATGGATGGCACTTTCCTCTTCCATGCAGTCACGAGACTCAGTTTAATCTTGTGGTCACACATTCCTAAGACTTCCAACCTACAGAAACCCGGGGTCACCCTTATCCCTCCCTTAAAAGGACCTGGGCCCTGTTCCACCCAGCTGGACTCACATTATATATAAACTCCCATTTCAAACCCTGCCTTTATCCTCTGACCTACAGCTGATGCAGCCCGGACTGCTCTCCCCAGTGCCCTTATGAACCCTGAAAAGACACAATCAGGTGCACATGACCACTAGGCTCTACTTCCCTGACAGCAGAAAAAAGCCACTCCAAGTGCATATCCTATTTCACAGGACACAAAAGTAATTGAATCTTCTGTAATCTGATATTATCCTAAATCTCACAGGAAGATATACTTTACTAAGCACTCTCCTCCCAAGACTGTCTGTTGAGGCACTTTCACTAGTTTTGTTATTTTCATAACAGTCTGCAACCTCCTTTTTACAAAGCAATTTCAACCATGTGAGCATTGTTAACTTCTGAGACCTTCATGAAATTAAAAAGGTAATAAATAGAGCCACCTCAGTAAGCTAAACAACCATTACTTAACAAATGCTGGGCAAGAACTGTTTCACAAGAGACAGCTACTGGATTACTCATGAAAATAAGTTTGAATTTTACGTTGAAAAAAACAATCTCATCTTCCAGAGTAATGTCAAAAGTAGGCCACTGGGGTAATCCAGGCTGGCTTCTTTGGGAGGGTGGTAGTCCATTCTCTGGACATCTGTCCCACTTTGAAGAATTCCACTCTGACTACTGGCCTAGTTGTTTCAAAAAACTACATTCTAATCAGGACTTATGCAAGGCTTCGTGGTTGCATCTGATTTGGTGTCTCATTTAGACTACACTAGGTCCATAAACAATGTACCCTTTGTGTGTGTGGGGGCAGGTCCTTGGCAATTTTGTTAGAATTAGGCCAGCCTGTTTGAAAAAAACCTGACTTCAAAAAGGAAATTTAAATCCTCCCAAATCACACCACCACATTCCTATGAGGCCAGAGGGTGACTTGAAATTGCGAACCCAAATTCAACTTCAAATTCACCAGGCCCCCCTCCACACAGCCAGCCAAGAACCAACTCACTTTCTGTGATTTTCTGCAATACCACCTCTCATCCTTCCTAGACAAGCAGCAGATCTAAAACCTCCAAGCAATAAATACAGGAACACCTTGGTCCACAATTCAATTCCCAAACGAAAGCATTCAGCAAAATTGTGCTTCTGGTCATAAGCTCCACATGAGGTGAAGAACATGACCACAGCCATCTTCCTCCGAAATGTGGAATGGAGTTCATAAACCAAGGCACCTCTGTATAAGTCTTGACTGCTCCCCTCTGCTGAAGCTGCTGCTAATCCTGTGCCAAGTGGGTACAGAGGGGGCATTCCAGGCCTCCCAATTTGAAGGTGTATCCCTTTTCCAAGAAGCCAGACTAGACTATTCTGAGCTGTAACTACCTTCTGAATGGCTTCCTGGCCTCACATTCTGCCTAGCTCTGGTTCAATGCACAATGAACCTGGCTACAAAGGCTCCAAGTAGAGGGAAACAGAATGGTTCTCTACATTCTGTTCCAGAGAGGAAGAAAAAGTCAGTTCCTGCATCCATTTCTAGGAAAACAGAACACAAGGGGCAAGGAAATTAAACCACATCAAACTGCTACTTCTCAGCCTAATGACACAAACATAATTACATGAAAGAGCTGAAATGCTTTTTCTTTGATGTTTTTTAGCTGTTTCTTATGGCCCTTCAGAGCTTGCTTTACTTTTTGGAGATGCTTGGGACTGATCCAGGGACTTCAGTATGCTAGGTAAAAACTAACTCTGAGCTGAATCCCCAGCTCTCTATAATGTTTTAAGTTACTCAGACCTTTATTAAGAGTTTAACAATTCTTGCCAGGCGTGGTGGCACATGCCTGTAATCCCAGCACTTGGGAGGCTAAGGCAGGAGGAGGATCGCTGTGAGTTCGAGACCAGCCTGGGCTACTAAGTGAGTTCCAGGTCAGTCTCAACTACATAGTGAGACCCTGTCTCAAAAAAAAAAAAAAAAAAGTTTAACAAGTCCTTTTAAACAGTAATGCACTCAAGCACACTATGGTTCCTAGGTTATACTAATTTCCCAATCCCAATTAGCAACAATTACCTTCTTGTTCCAGATCTCAAATCCTACTACAGGCACCTTTTTAACTCAAGCTCCTGAGTTCTCCAACTTAAGAGATGCCTGTGTGAGCCTGGAAGGGTCTGGTTACTGTCACATCACAAACAACATTCAATGCAAAGTTGAAAAGCTAAAGAATTGTCAGTCTTCCTCCCTAAAAAAGCACCACACAGGAGGCAGCAGCTGTGTACTTTCCTTGGGTAAAGAAAAGTAATAAAACGTTCTTCAGTCCCAGCTGGGAATCACCCAAATCTACCAAACACCTGCCTTTCACTCTCTTTTCTGACAAAATAAAGGGCATTTCCTAAATAATGCTTGAGGTTAATCAAGAATTAGTTCCCTCCCTCTCCTGCATGTACCAGTAATACGCGGAGAGTCTTAAAAGTTAGCAATAACCACTTTTCCAAAGCTATCACCAGTTCTCCCCTGACGCACTCCTCTTCTGGTTTCCACTATGCTTTGTAATCTGTATTTTATGGTGATCTCTTACTGCTGTTCCTTACACAGAAATTCATGGAGCAGTCCTGGCTAAATAACAGTAAGTCCAACCATTAAGTGGCTTCTAAGCCCTGAAGCAACTAAGACGAAGCAAACTGCTTTCGACTGGTATCATAGAGTACACAGCAGCTACTATTTTCATCTTGCACAAGGTCATACAGGTACTAGAAGCCGAAGCAGAACTCCGGCCTCAAGGTAAGACTTCATCTCACATTTGTTTAGCACATTTCAGAAGGAAGAAGGTAGAATCGAGCGTGCCTTTGAAGGCAGACTGAGGTGTAGCTGCTACAGATGGAGAAGACTTGCTGCAGGCGAGACTGGAAAACCCTAGGTAGGTATATTAAAGGAATGATGGACATATAGCAGGAAAACAGAAAAAAGAAGGGTAGAAAAAGACTACCGCAGTCAGCCTGAAAAGAGTTTATGAATGTCTTGCCTGGGACTTATTTGGGTAAACAGCCAAAAACTTCCTATTTTCTATTGGATGAGCTGTCAGATCTCTGTTAACAGGGTTTCAAAGAGTATCAGGATGTTTTGTTTAAAAGACTAAAATCTAGGCCTCCAGCATCCAGCTACTCAGGAGGCAGGAAGATCTCATTATCCAAAAGTTCCAGACCAGCCTGGCTCATCTATGGCCTCAGGAGGGCCACAGCCTGCAAAAATCAAAGGAACAAAAATTTAATACACCATATTATCTGTCCAGTCTTTCTGAAAGATCTCCATATGCTTCAAATATGGGAAGTGCTATTACTCCTGCCACTCTAACAATTCCCGAGTGTTACATAGCCCTTAGCCTAGTAACAGTAACAGGCTCCCCCAGTTTCTTAGAAATGGATACTTCCTTTACAAATTCAACATGACATATGGATATCAGCAAAGATCTGCGTTTGTCACAACAGCACTGGAGATAGATGTGCTTTTCGCAGGAGTCGATAATTACAGCAGGAATTGGCAGATAAGACACCCAGGTGTGACTACACTCACTCAACCAGGACAAATGGAAAACATTTCCTGAGAGTCATCACGGGTCAGCAAACTTCCTGTAAAATGCTAGGCAGTAAATACTTGAGTATTTTTTTGGTCAAATGCAATCGGTGAGTTGTTCTTTGCATTTCTGGGGGAGTTTTTCATTTTTTTGGTGCCAGGTATTGAACTTGCATTTTGCGGGGGGATGTTGGGGATTGAACTCTGGTCCTTCCACTTGTGAGGCAGGTGATGGAACCACTGAGCTAAATCCTTGGCCCTGTTTTTTGCATTTTAAGCGCCAAAGTAAACAAAACAGAAGCATGAATTTCTACTCACCTTCAATAACTATCAATCTATGGACAATCTTGTTTCTATTTATAATCCTACCCACTTTCTGCCCTCTCATATTCTGGAACAAATCCAGGTATCATGTCATCTGAGGTATAAATATTTCATTACGGATCTGGAAAACATAAGGTCTTCTGTTTTTATTAGAAAGAGCACAACCACAAACCTATTTACCACACTTAAAATTAACAGTGTTGTATATATTTTAAACAATGCTTCTCAATGTAAAAGCCATTTTAGCTCAGACTGCAAAAACAGCTAGATATGACCTACCCATGACTGCAGTTTGCTGCCTCTGGTACAGAAAACAAATGGGAATTTATGTTGAGACTCTGGACTTCACTAGGTTAAGGTGAATTTGGGACAAGTGAGAAGTGAAGTAAAAAGCACTCTACTAGCAAATGATCTTAGCCAGAATGGCTCACTGTAAATGTGAGGAAGATACAATAAAATAACACCTGAACACAGATGGTAACTACAAAAGAGAAGAAAACGAGAAGCACAAGAAAAAGAAAGTCAAAACATAAGACCCATCTGAAGCCATCAAAACTCACTCTGTGGTAGTAGAAGTTACAAACAACATCAGTGCAGCTCTGTGTTCAGCATGCGGGTCAGTTAACCACATAAATGACAACTAGGAGAGAGGGCACCTATCACTGCCTCTGGTTGTATCAGCTGCCTCTAGTGAGCTAGGACATGAACTACCCAAAAATCTTTTTAAACTAAATAAATGTAATCACATTTAACTAATTTAAGATACATATTTAAATCGACAAAAGCAAATTGTTTACTACCTATTATATAACATACTTTTTATTAAAAGTATCTTGCACTCATGATGAACGTTTTCTGGGTTTTGCAAAATACTTTAATATTAAAGGTTAAATTACTTTTTACATGCAAGTAATGTGAATTGTTTCCCCCATGTGAGAACAGTGATTAAAGATGACATACCACACGAATTAAGTGTTGTCTTTAATTGAAAAGCTAATAAACTGTCTAGTTACATTTTTCCCCAAACCATAAACTTGGTAGTTACTGAGTCTCTAGGCAACATACTCAACGCTGACATTTAAACTTTAAAAACAAGTAAAACAAGACCTCAGGTCCAGCTAGGGGAGCCCCACTTCCACGGGCCTATATATACCAGTGACACTGCTTGACTCTGGAGGCTGGAAGACGTCCCCCCAATGATCCCACTGGGAACCGTTATTTCAAGTAGCCTTTTTCCAGTTTCCAACTTCTGAATAAAGATGTATTTTGTTAATTCTATTTCAGAAAACGTTTTGCAAGTTGTTTTATTTACAATGCCAACTTTTAAAAGCTCACTAACATCAACTGGACAATAAACTAGGCAGAAATCACTTTACAAAAAGAGGGAAAGCTCAAAATGTCAACTTTCTACAGAGAACCCACAGTTCCGTTTTATTCAGAATATTTGCTCAGACTAGAAGAAATTCAGCCATTGGTTTGGAATCAGTACTGAAACTACACATGCAATGGGAACAATATTATGCTAGTACAATTGATTTGCTGCTGCATTTATCTACTGTTTTGTCTAATATTAACAATTATAAACAGAGCAGTGCAACTAGTATTTGGAACAATCCTTATAGTGTTACAGTGTCGGGCACAACATTTCACTTCTCTTCACACCACTGGTTCTCTTTGCGTACCTGGAAGAGACAGGCAGAAGTATCTTAACTTGAACAGTCTTCTAAGACTTGTATGAACTACCTACAAATTCAACAGCCTCCAAGGTAAGTCAAACAGATTGGTAACTGGAGAAATACCGGATGATAAGAACACTTCCTGACTTTCTCTCTTTGCTTTCCTAGGTTTTTATTCTGCTCTGCTGAAATTATCAGAAAAGTAAAGCAATGGGCGATGAGTTTGTCAAGACTGGTAGAGCAAATTCAATTACTTCATTCACAATTTCCATTCATAGCTGTGTCAACAAAACATTCTGATGCATTCATTTCTTTCTCATTTACTTAGCTGCTCTGCAATATGCCAACATACACTCTTGCTGTGGGTCTGCTTGTGTGAAGTCAAATATTTATGGCTTACACAAGAGCCCCCAAGTGCTAAAGCAAGAAAAGTGCTAATCAATTCAATGTGAAGGAACTCCTCTGGATCAAACCCCATTTTCTTGTGCTTAAAAAGAACAGTAATGGGGCTGCAAATTTGGCTCAATGGACCTGTCGCCTGCCTTGCAAGGGCAAAGGCCCAAGAAGTTCGATCCCTAGTACCCCGCCCCTAAACCCAAAACAAAACAAAACAGAACAGTATCATCTCAACGTTTAGACTGAGATGCAAACCAGTGAGAGAGTGAGCAGGATAACAGAAAGTACGTATTACCACTCAAGCATCAGGATTCCCCGATATATGCATCTCTCTCAGTGTAGTAAAAAGCATGGGATCAAAGACAAATTATGTTACCTACCTGGGCTTCCTCCTCTTCAGTGAAGTCATTTTTGATATTGAAGGTCTTTCGAATCTCCTCGGGAGTTTTCCCCTTGATCATATTGGCAACAGTCTTGCATGTAACATCAAGCAAACCTTTGATGTCTAGGTAGTTTGCTGCCTGTAAAATGATATTGTTTTCATTAAAATATACTAGATATTTTCATCTAAATCTAAAATTAGTTATTGATAATGTATATCTAATTTGGTCTAAAATGCATATTTTACAAGATCTGTAATACTCCTGCCTCAGTCTCCCAGGGTGCTGGGGTTACAGGTGTGTGCTACCATATCCAGCTCACTAGTTACTTCTTTTCTAATATTCGTACTAAATGCTATCAATTTTCCTGGAGGTACCCTCATGAGCTGCATTCCACAGATTTTAAGTGTTTTATTTCTATTTAGTTGAAAACACTTTAAATCTGAAAATCTTTCTCTAACCTATAAGTTAGCTGGAAATGTGTTCTCAAATATTTGCAGCCTTTTCTAGCTCTCTTTTGGTTATCAATTTTTGTTTTGTTGTTTTGATAGGGTTTCACTGCTGGACTTAAATTGCAATTGATTTACCTCAGCCTCCCAACTGCAGAGATTGCAAGCTATGCCTAACTTGAATAAGACTAATTTTATGGTCTAAAACGTGGTTTATCTTGACAACAGTATGTATTCTGCTGTCCTTAAGAGGTAATGTTCTATAGATATCAACTAAGGTAAGTTGGTTAGTAGTGTTATTCAAGTTTTCTGTATCTTTATTGATTTTCTACTTCTAATTATTGAGAAATACTGAAATTTCTAACCATGCTTGCAGATTTATTTATTTCTACTTTTAACTTTCTTCTCCCCCTATTTTTTGGAAATTCTACTTCTGTGTAGATAAATGTTTATGGTTATGTCCTCTTAATAAATTGAGTCCCTTCTCATTATGAAATGCCTTTTACCTTGTTAATATTCTTTGCTCCAAAATCTTTAACATAGTCATTCCGGCTTTCTTTTTTTTCCCCGACCAGAGTTACTTATCAGGGTCTGTATTTTTCCATCCTTTACTTAAAATGGATTTCTTATGGCTAGCACAGCTGAGGGGTGCTTTTATTAATCTGATCTGCTATCTCTACTTTTAACTGTTTTTGAATCACTTAAAATGGTAACTGCTATGTGGACTTCCATAAAAGTTCAATACCAACAAATTTATCATATTAACTCTGAAAGAAATGGCAAAGGAGCTGAATTATGTATTAAAAACATACCAGAATAAGTTCAAAAAGGGTTCCTTGGTCAACTTTCAGGAATTCTTGGTCCCAAACAGGGATATCATCTGTTCGCTTTTCTTTGTTCTCATCATCCTCAGGAGGAGGAGGGTCATCCTTGTGGTGGGTGCACCACTGAATGACCTGTAACAAGATAGTTCAGTTCCTATGTGGCATTTGTCAAATGGCACACACTCCACTCCTGAGACAACATTATTTCTATGCTGGGACAAGAACTGGCTAGAAGCTGATTGGAAAGAAAATGCCAGTGGTGCCTCGATTAACAAACTTGATTCTTTCCATGATTCTGGTTGCAAATGAACTGCAAGTACATCCTATGCTTGCAGTTCAGTAGCATCAAGCACATTTACGCACATACTATGCTTCCAATTTGGTTGCAACGAATCATAGAAGCAATTAAGTTCATGAACCAAGGTACCACTGTAACAGCCAAACTTGAAAAGTGAAAAATGAAGCTTAACAATTCTTTACAATCCTACAAGGTACAAGAGCTTGTCAGATAAAGGCCAACAATGCAGTATAATATATTTGACTGTATTAAAAAAACTTCTGTGAAAAAGAATCAACATCAGAACAGAAGATACCGGCAACATATAAAACCAACAACTGATTACGGCAACAGAATATAAAATCTTAAAAATTACTACAGAGAGGGCCGGGGATTTAGCTCAGGGAAACCGTGCCTGCCTTGCAAGTACAAGGACCTGAGTTTAATCCCTGGTAGGAAAAAAACAAAACAAAACAAAAAACAAATATAGTCAGATACTACTCTAGAGTCACAAATAAATCAATATTCCGACATTACTAATTGTTGGCACCAGTGTGAAGGTAACTCATATTCTTCTAATGGAAAATGTAAATTGTTATCTTTAAAAATAAACCTAGGGAACCGGGGATTTAGCTCAGTGGTGGTGCCGTCTGCTTCACAAGCACAGCATCCTGAGTTTGATCCCTGTTACCACAAACAAAAACAAAAAACAAAAACCCTAGAATTCCTAATAAATCTAAATCCAAATATGTACTTTACATCATAACCAAGTAATTCCAAATACCTCAGACATGTACATAGGACTTGCTATAGGAACAAGGCAAGAAAAGGCCATTTGCTTTCTAAGGGAATGAATACATCATGAATTTTGAAGAATCTGACTAGTTAGATTAGTCACAGCAGCATAAAGACCAAAATCAATACTGACAATGTGTTAAAACTGTACAATCCAGGTGGTAAGGTTCATGGCTGTTTGCTGTGCAATTCTTTCAACTTTTCTATAACTTTATGCCAGAAAAAAATGGAAAAACTCAAAAATTATACTGCCTGCATGCCAAAAGTAGGATTTCAATTACTGCCAGGCATGGTGGGTATACCTGTAATCTCAGCACTATGAGATTCTGAGGTAGGAGGATCACAAAGTGGAGCCCAGACTGGGCAATTCAGACAGCGAGATCTCAAAAATACAGGGACAGGGATTTAGCTCAGTGGTGCTGCCTGCCTTGCAAACACAAGGTCCCAAGTTTGACCCCCAGTACCCCCCAAAATAAATAATTTTAAAAAATAAAATAAAGCATTGACTATGTATCTCAATGTGAAGGCCCCAGATTCAATCCTGACAGAGAGACAGACAGATGTTGCTGGGATATAGCTCAAGTGTACAGTGTTTGCCTACATGTGCAAGTCCCTAAATTCAATCCCCAGTATGGCAAAAAACTAAAATACCAACCTAACCCCAAAAGACAATACTCAGAATTCAGAAAGAATGAGATCTAACTTGATAAAATAGTTACCATACCATAAATTATATAACAAGTTCTCATTCAGATGAACTTTAAAAACATTAGGCTAAGTGAAATAAACCACTAAGGTACCCAGATTAGTCAAATTCACAGATAACAGAAGCATGGTTACCAAAGGCTGGGGGAGGTGGGGAAACAGGAAGTTATTTCATGGAAACAATGTTTCAGTTTGGGATGACAAAAAAGTTCTTGAGATGGTAAGTGATGATGGTCACACAACACTGAGGATGTACTTAGTATCACTCAATAGTACTTTAAGAAGTTCACCTGGATGTGGTGACACATACCTGCAATCCTAGCTACTTGGGAAGATCAGTCTAGCAAACTCAAGAATTGACTATTCTGACTCAAAAAATACAAAACTAGCCCAGCACTCCCTGGGTTCAATCCCCACCCAGCACACACCACCTACCCCACCCCCCAAAAAAGACGTGTCATCTGAGCACTCTGGAAGGCTGATTTAAGGTTGAACCCAGTGTAGGCAACTTAGCAAGACCCTGTCTCAAACACAAAGCCTGACACACAAATGCAATCCCAGCACTCTGGGACTGAACCAGGAGGAAAAGGTAGGAGGATCTTCAGTTTGAATCCAGCCTGGGAAATTTAGTAACTTAGTGAAACTCTGCCTCAAAATTTTAAAACTTGCTTGTTTTTCTGTGGGGTATTTTCGGTTTTGTCTGTTGAGACAGGGTCTCACTATGTAGTTCAGACTGACTGACCTTTAACTCACTATGTAGCCCAGGCTGGCTTTGGAACACACAGCGATCTTTCTGTCTCAGCCTTCTGAGCGAAGTAAAAATGTTTTAAAAAGGTTGTGGATGTAGCTCAGGGCAAATGCCCCAAATAAATCCTCAGTACCACAAAAGTAAAGTAAATAAGGACCAGGGATTTAGCTCAGTGGTTCTGCTGCCTGTCTCTCAAGCGCAAGGTCCTGAGTTCAATCTCTGGTACCATAAATAAATAAATAAATAAATAAATAACAATTTTAAAAGGCTGTCCTCAAAAGGACTAACATCTACAATGCATAAAAACTTTTTTAAAAAATGAGGACCCCCTCCCATTTAAAGAATTTGGCATCTGAAAAAATGGCATCTGAAATGAACACTTACCAGATTTTTTTAAAAAGCAAATAAATATATGAAAACATGTTCGACATCATTAGTCATTTGAGAAACACAAATTAAAACTATGGTGATATTCCACCTCACTACAGAAAGAATAGCTATTACCAAAAAAAAAAAAGTGTGGTGATGGGGGGAAACCTTCTCCACTATGGAAATCAGTATGGAGATTCCTCAAAAAACTAAAACTAGAGGTTCCATTTAACCTAGCTTTTCCCCTTTCTAGGATGCTTCCTGAAACAGTTAAAAGCATCATACCACAGTGATATATGCATAGCCATGTTTATAGCAGCACGATTTATAATAGCTAAATTTTGGAAATAGCCCATATGCCCACCGAAAGATGGATTAAAAATTGTGAGTATAAGGGGAGGGGGTGAAGGGAGGGCAGAGGTAAGGGGAAAAAATGAGAATCAAGACTTGTCATGTAGAGGTACAAGATCCCAACAATGAATGTAACTGTACTGTATCCCTAAAATGTACCAATAAACTCAATTAAAGCTGAAAAAAAAAAAATGTGAGTATATAAAATGGAGTACTACCTTGCCAAAAAAGAAGGATAAGCTTGAGTCATTTGTAGGAAAATGATTGCACCTTGAGACCATAATCTTAAGTGAAATAAATCAGACACACAAATTTAAATATCTCATTATTTCTCATGTGAGAAACTCAAAGGGTAAGTAAGGAACACAATGGAGGAAAATCCTAAGAAGTACCAAAGAACTTCAACTGGGAGGGAGCACAAGGATGTGGGAGGATGAAAGAAGAGAGGAAGGAGAAAAATAGAAAGCTTTTGTAAATGGGGATGGAAAGACGGGCTGGAGGGGAGAATGTGAAAAAAAGAATTAAAATATATTATGCACAGGTACAAATCCCCCATGATGAATGTGATCAGTATGTAGACAAATATGTACTAATAAAAACTAAAGCTAAAAAAATTTAAGAGATGGGGATGTAGCTCAGCACAAAGGCCTTAAATTTACCCCCCCAATATTGCTAAAAAAGAAGTTACAATAAGTCTTACATTACGTGTATCTTTTTTATTTGTAATATAGATAAGCAAAAGAAAACAGAAAATACAAAAAATAAATGGCCAATAATACATGTAAAAAATGTTCAGGCTTTGAGGATCACTTTTAGGGAGAATGGTAATAGGCAATATTGGTAAGAGTAGGAAAAAACAAGGCAACTGCAACTCAACAGGAGTAGAGCTCACAGGACAAGGTGTAAGTTGAAACCAAACATGTAGTACTACCTGTAGGGCGAGGCCCACTGCAGCCGAACATCCCCATCTCTAGATCTGTCCCAATCTTCCTTTGGAGCAAGCATCCACTGAAACAGCTTGCTGTATTAAGGAGCTATGTGCCCTGAACCACTGAACTCGTATTCAACGTGGGAAAAACTGTTTACACTTTGACACAAAGCAAGGCCATGTATTAAAGTGAAAGATCATCACTTTGTTATGAAAGGAAACATTTACAAGTTTATAGTCTGCTACATTATGTACAAAGAACAATATACTTATTTGTTGATATCTGCATTAAAAAACACTGAAAGAATGAAGGAGGGGGATTAGAATGAACTGGTACAGAAAGGGAATGAAGTGTTAGATGTACTCTACACATTTCAAAAACATAAATCTGGGGCCAGGGACTTAGCTCAGTGGTTCCTCCACCTGCCTTGCAAGCGCAAGGACCCGAGTTCAATCCCTGGTACCAAAAAATTTTCTTAAATCAATCAATCAATCAATCAATCTAAGAACATAGTCATGATTTAATCACGATGTTCTAAGGAGTGGTGTGTTAATTTAAGGCTATTTAGCCAGATCAATAAAAATATCACAGCAAAGTACTTGCAGATGGACCTACTATATAAATCTTTGTCAGTGACAGAGCATATGCTAGCAATGCCCAGGCTCAACACCCAGCAGACACAAAAAAGGTCTTTCTGATGACAATCAATGACAATGATCAACTTTAAAGAACAGACAGGACTGTTTTCTGTGTATTATTGTATAAATAACATTCAAGTAAGTGCGGAAGAACATTCAAATTTTAAAGTTCTGATATAGACTGAGTTACTTGTACTGTATTTATCAGTGTTTGAGACTAGACTGACACCAACTAAAATACTGACATATATATCCCTGTAAAATCTATACCATAATAAACTAAAATGTAGTTTGAGTCTACTTTCAGAAATTTTTGACCTAAAAAAAGCAGTCTTGTTGCTTCTCAGCCTTTTGGCTAAGATCAAGTGTAAAAAAAAGCAGTCTGTGTATTTTCTTATTTCAGGATTAGAAGAATCACATGCTAGATTCAGAAGTGCTCATTTACATAAAGGAACAATGGAAGCATATAAAAGCAAAAAAGCTAAATCTGTTAAGTCTAAGCATTCCAACTCTAAAAATAAATCCTTTAAAGACACTACCAGGGTCTGGAGTTGTAGCTCTATGATAGTGCATGTGTTTAGCGTGCTCAAGGCCCTGGGTTCCCCATATCCAAAACAAATTAAAAGCCCTTACCTTTTTTAATATCGCTGCATTAACATTTGGTAGAGGAACTGGGTCATCATCTCCTTCATCATCCATTCCCAAATCTAAGAAAACCCAGAGTGACCATTACTTTGTTACTCCACTGTAATATACCAACTAGACTATATTAAAGTTATGTGAAAGAAATGTCTGAAAGAAAATAAAAATTACTGAGCCTAAGTTATTCTAAGAGCATTTAAAATTGGTGTTCCCCAACAATGGGTCTATGAACAATCAAAAACTGTGTCAAGTTGTGTGAGTAGGTAAACACAAGAATATTACTTAAAGGAAGTTCTTATTAGAAAGACAAGGGATGGGCCAGGGGGGTTTAGCTCAGTGATGCTGCCACCTGCCTCACAAGTACAAGGACCGGAGTTCAATAATGACTGGGCAGCCTCCTGGGAAAAAAATTATAGCTGGACCATATTCTTAGTCTTTAGATCAAATTCTCTACATGAACTGCATTTAGAAAATGAAACTATGAAAAAAATTATAATAAAATAGCAAACCACTCAAATCTGAAGCCTAAATATGTATTCACATACTTGTTATGCAGCCTCTGACAAAAACATCTTAAATTTTTTCAAGTTAGGTATAAAGAGACGTCATTTGAATAAAAGCAAGTATTAATTTGTCTAAAATACCTCCAGAAGGACACCTAAGGAAACGATGATGATGATATATCCAGGTAAGTTTAAAATGTGTGAAGGCCTTCTTTTCCACTTATATTTTTGCTTGTTATGATGCACTTATGACCTAATAAGTTTCCCTGACAAAAACAAGTGAATTTTAAAGAAAAACTTCCAATTAAGATTCATGTTAAAGATTGTGAATAAAAATATTTTTCAAAATTAAATGGATCTATCCTTCAGCTTCTATACAACTGAAGAATTGACACCAGGCGTGGTGGCGCATGCCTGTAATCCCAGCACTCGGGAGGCTGAGGCAGAAGGATTGCTGCAAGTTTGAGACCAGCCTGGGCTACATAGTGAGTTCCAGGTCAGTTTCAACTACATAGTGAGACCCTGTCTCAAAAAAAAAAAAAAAATTGCCTAGAGTTGCCTAAAGTTACTTTAATATTTATCAAATACCAAAATTAGAAGCCAAAAGTTATTATTGTGCTATACTGGTTGTAGCAAAGTACTAGGACATGGTCAATTTGGAGTCAAATGTTTAGGTCCCTAATATATAGCAGAGGGCTGGGGATTTAGCTCAGTGGTTCTGGTGCCTGCCTCACAAGCATAAGGACCTAAGTTTGATCCCCAGTACCAAAAAAAAAAAAAAAAAGCAAAGCCTAATATATGACAGGCATATTAGGGGAGTCAGCAATAAATATATGAGCATGGATAACTATAGCAATTGTGGAATCTCTTCCTACAAGAGGTAAAAACACCTAAGCAGAGGAAATGGCAAATGCAAGGGCCTTCTCATAGAAGTGTCTGGGACATTCTAAAAGCAATAAAAAAGAGACACAACGCATGCCTGTTGTCTCAGGTACTCAAGACACCAAGGCAGGAGGATCTGTGGAGCCCAGGAGATAAGGCCAGTGAGCGCAACATGTAAGACACAGTCTCAATAAATAAATTAACCACCCAGTCCAATTATTTAAATACAACATAACCACATACCTTTTTTTTTTTTGGCTTTTTTTGAGACAGGGTCTCAATTATGTAGTTGAGACTGACCTGGAACTCACTATGTAGCCCAGGCTGGTCTCGAACTTACAGTGATCCTCCTGCCTCAGCCTCCCAATGTGTGCCACCACACCCAGCTATTTGGTTAACTTTTATAAGATAATAACAGGAAAATAAAAGTAACAATTTTATCAAATTTATTAAATACAAGAATCAAGTGGTTGAAATGACACCTGTCCCAGTGGCGCTTGGGAGAGTCTGTATATGAACTTGCTGCCCGAGTGATGCTCCACATTAACTGTTAAGTGGTTAAAACACTAAGGAACGTAGTATTACTAGGCAATGCCTAGCAAGGAAGAAACGGGTAACATCAAATAATGGGGAGGAGTAGTCCTAGGACACTTGTGCATTTTGAGCATATGGAGGAGAGAGAACAGAGAACAAGACGACAGGGAAACCAACTACTGGTCTGACATTAATCCGTGGACAAGGTGATGGTTCAGACAAGGTTTATAACTAAGCAGGAGGTAAGAAATTATTTAATTTTGTATAAATTTTGAAGGCAAAGTCAATACTTTGCCAACAAAAGGGAAGTAGACTATGAAAGGAATCAGGGGAGACCAAGGTTTTTATGGCATGAAAAATACATAGTTGCTCCTGGCAAGTGATAAGGCCAAGACTGACACCACAACTATTATTTTTAGGAAGGGGGATCAAGTGCTCTAGCTTCATAATTCTGACACATCTATTAGATATTCATGCTTAGATGTCAAGAGCTGTCCAATTCAGATCTACAACGCCCCAACCTAAGGCGCATGTGTTTGGAAGGTGAATGGATTATAGGGGCGTTACAACAGCTTGCTATTAGGTGGGCCTGGTCAGGAGGGGTAGGTCACTGTGGGGCACACCCTGGAAGGATGTACCTCCCCTCCCCTCTGATTCCTGTCCACCTTGCTGTGAGCAGCTCTCCTTCACCACACCCTTCTGCCTTACTATCCTGCCTTAGAGCCAGTGGACTACAGACTAAAACAAGAGAAAATAAACCTCTCCTGCCTTAAGTTGTGGGTGTCAGGTATTGTGTCTCGGTAACATTAGGGACCATGTTCAAAACTGTAGTATGTCTGGAAATTGGTACAGAGACAGTTTTATAATGAACGGATAGAGATATAAGGAAAAGGTCAAAGGATTCAGGAAACAAGGCTGTTGAGTAAATGAAATACTCTGGAAGTCAAGTGAGGAAGCGAATGATCAAGCACCAAATGCTGTCAACAGGTCTAGATGAGAATCCAAAACAATGAACATGACCACCACACAAAGGTCGCTGAGCTTAACAAGCAGGTCTGCCTAGTAAAGTGGTAAAGAGCAGATTCAAAAGCAATTTAATTCATCTTATCTGGTCTGAATGAGTTAACTCATGTCCCTTCTTCCCACCAATGCTGTCCCCATCCCAAACCAGCTTAGAATAAACCTATAAAATGATGTCTCTCATTTGCATCAAGTCATGTTTTTCCTGAACAAGCGTGAAATACTTTTAATCAAAAGAGAAAAAGAAGACATACAAAATACCCATGCTGTTGAATTAAGATATTATTAGGAAAACAACACAGAAGACTAGATTTTATTCAAATGTTATTTGGAAGACTTAAAAAGTCACATTAAAGGCTGGGAATTTAGCTTAGTGGTTTCACCACCTGCCTCACAAGCACAAAGAACCAAGTTCGATCCCCATACCACCAAAAAACAAACAAAAGTCACGTTAAGGTCCTGGTGGTTGTCAATGATTACCTCTAGCATTTAGACATTCAGTGTTTTCTTGCTTTTAGACCAAATACACAAGGAGCCGAAGTCAGTCCTTTAAACTAGTTTCAAGGACTTCTGAAAGACTGTGTTCTGATACTACACCCTAGACCTGAACAAATAAGACAATCCACATGTACACTGGCCAAGATTTCCAACTGACTGTCCTGTGACTAGAAAGTTTTGTTTTCTACGTCACATGCAACTCTAACCAGAAATACTGTAGATGCAAAACAAGAAAAGCAGTAAGCCACTAAATTCACAAACTCCAGACTTCAAGTGGCTAGAACCCTATATACAACACTGGTACGTAAGATAAAACCATTCACCTCCAATGCCCAAAGGCTACAATCAGGAAGAATCATTTAACCCATTTAAGGGTTGCTATCAGTCCACAAAGAAAACTTTCAAGGAGTCCTGTGTTCTTAAAATTGGCAAATGTTTTCTGAAGCAGCACAGGACAGGTTAGTGTCAGGTATCAACTAAAATGAAATAACAAATTCACTGCCAAAGCAAGCATTCAGGCAGCAAGTTTACTATTAGTTTCTACATCTTTTAGATAAAGCCTTCCTCACCCACCTTTAGAGACCCCTGGATTGTTTTCATACTCTCTCAGTGACCATACCACACTACTTCTTCACTCAATGGGTACCTAATGAACAGTGACTTGGGATGTACCAAGGGCTTTAACATCTTAAAAGTCATAACCTACATAAATTAGGATATAGGACTGCAAGTGCCATGTGACATACCCATCACCAAAAAAGAATCTGCTTTTATGAGAAATTATACAATGAGAAAATAGAAGATACATCTCCGACAATTCAGCTTCTGCCTCTACCACACCTAAGTAGCTGTTAGAAGTCCTCTAACTTATCAAATATGAAAGCCCTCCTCCCAAGTGACCAGTATACAGTAGTATACTGTAGTATACAGTAGTATCTGGCACTCTAGTCACCTAGAAATGCTCCCTCTTCCCTTGGCTGTCCTGAGTCCTAAGCCAATGATTCTCCGTTTATGGAGAATTTCTTAACCCGAGCCCTCTATAACCACCCCTTCTTTCACAAAGCCATACTCCCATAACTTATCCTAGAAAACAACACTAGCTCCAGCAGTCTACAAGTCAAGCTCCAAGAGTCACCTACTTAACTGTCTAGTAGATCTTCTGAACGAACTGCAGTTTAAACTAGTCATTTCTTCTCTACTCCTCTCAAACTCATTTACAGCTCTACCAAAGTATGACAAACCCATCCTACGCCAATAGACCTCAACTAAAAACCTCAATTTTACTTTTCCCTAATTTTTTGTCTACTTCACCTCAGAATGTTCTCCTAAGATATCCTAATCGTACTAATTTGAAATATGTGATGAACCACTAGCACTACATAGTATGTACTGCAATCTTCCCAAAAGTCTTAGGATAATTCCAGTTAAGATGTTCCCACAGCACCACTTGGCATACAACTTTATTAATGTACCAATTACACAAAGTGACAGCTTTGTTTACTATCTGGCCCCCCTCCTAGTTATAAATTTTTCAAAGGCAAAGATCATGTCTCACCTTCTTATAGCTAGTGCTTGGCATATAACCCTTCTCTTCAAATATTTATAAGTTTCTGATCTTCCCTATGTTACTGGTGACATCCCTATTCTTACCCCATCAATTTTAAGCAGCTCCTCAATTTTAGGCTCCTGTCTCGGCCTTGCAAGTGCTGGGATTACAGGCATGCACCAGCACAGGCAGCAGTTTTATCCATTTTATGAGGAAAAAGAAGAGACCCTTACTAATACAGACAAAACAGGATAACCTGAGTCAGAATGGTAAAGTTTATTCTCTAAAGAAACATTTATCTCAAAATACTATTTCTTCTCCTATCCTCCCACCCAGTTTTCTAATAAGCTTACCTTCCAACATGGTCTTGATTGTCACAGATTGTTTGGCAATTTCAACATCAACTTCAAATATCTCTCCATCAGAACTCTGCAACTTAATTGAAGGCATCTAAAGAAGGTATATGGAATGTGAAATTTAAGCAACTACTTCATTATGACACATCAGTTAGTCTGTCAGAAAAGTGTCTTATTAAATATAAAATATTGATGACCTAGTATATGAAAACTGTCTTTTGGTTGGGGGGTTAACAGGGATTCAACTCAGGACCTTGTGCTTGTGAGGCAGGTGGCCGAACCACTGAGCTAAACACCCCAACCCAAGAGGGTGTTTTCTTTACAGGCTAGCCTGCAAGTATTCCTAAAATTTTTTCAAAGTAAATTTCTAGAAACAGAATTATGTTTGCCCTGCTGAGTTTACTGCAAGTATAAATTTAAGTTACATGCTATACTTTTGATGAAAAATGTTTAAAATGAAATGAGAAGTGATCAAAATATACAGTGAATGTTTAAATTTAAAACAATTTAGTACAGTAGAAGACACTGCTATCAATCCCCCTCTATTTGAACACACCCCACTCTTGCCATTTTCTGATGCAGTTCTGGAAATTCTCTTTCAAGTCTTTTTAAAAGTATAATAAAAAAAATACGGTCACTGCTGCTGCCAAATGCCATTAAACAGAAAGGCAGGCTTGTAAAAACATTGCAGTTTATCCAGGGATGGGACATATGTCTATGATCTCAACACTAGGGAAGCTGAGGCAAGAAAATCATGAGTTCAAGACTCTCCTGGGGTACATACTGAGTCCAGGGCCAGTTTAGGATACCCTGTCTCAAAAAAAAAGAAAAGAAAGAAAGAAACCAAAAACCCAAAAAACAAAAAAAAAAATTGTGGCTTGTCTTCATCTACCTGATTCACTGGCTCTGGCACCCTGTGACTTCTAGCTCTTCCCCAAATCAAAATGACCACAAAAGGTAAACATTTTGGATCAACTCAGGACATGGAGGTAGCCTTAACAGGAAGAAAAGATACTCACAAAAGTCACAAAAGACAACTTCAGAAAGTGGCAATAACTGCGAGATTAAGTGTGTTGTTCAGCTGGGGATTTAGCTTAGTGATTCCACTGCCTGCCTTGCAAATCCAAGGACTCAAATTCGATCTCTGGTACCAAAAAAAAAAAAAAAAGGGCATGTTGCTAAGACGGGTCAGTGAGCCGGGGATTTACCTCAGTGGTGCTGCAGCCTGGCCTGCCTTGAAAGCGCAAGGTTCTGAGTTCATCCCAGGCACCAAAAAAATAAAACCAAAAACAAACTAAGGAAAGGGCCAGGGATTTAGCTTATTGATTCCACCACTCGAAAGCTCAAGCTCCCATGATTGATACCCAGTGCCAAAAAAAAAAAAAAAAAAAAAAACTAAAGAAGGGGAAGTGTTTTAAGGGAGATTAATAGCAATGTGTCTTTTATTGCAGAAAAGATTTTTTAAGCTGAGCGTTCACTATTTTTTTTATTTTTTATTTTTTTCGTTTTTCTTGAGACAGGGTCTCACTATATAGTTGAGACTGACCTGGAACTCACCCAGGCTGGTCTCGAACTCAGAGCAATCGTCCTTGTCTCAGCCTCTTGAGTGCTGGGATTACAGGTGTGCATCACCACAACCGGCTTCACTATTTTTGTTTAATTACTTTCTGCCTGCCTTTCTATTCCTACCACATTCTGACTGCGCATTTGAATATTTAACTGCCACAATTAACCACCTGCAAACCTCAGTGAGGTCAGCTCAAATTAAAGGAAGCTACCCAAACAAGAGTCATTATTCCACAAAGTGAAGAACAAGCATAAACCAACACAGGCTCATTTACGTCTGAACCAATTCAAGATCATGTACAAAAGAATAAAAAAGGCCATGGGGGGCCGGGGATTTAGCTCAGCGGTTCGGTGGCCTGCCTTGCAATCACAAGGACCGGAGTTCAATCCCCGGTACGAAAAAAAAAAAAAAAAGGCCATGGATTTTGCTCAGTGGTGCCTGGCAAGCAGAAGATCCCAAATTCCATCCCCGGTACCAAAAAAAAAAAAAAAAAAAAAAGGACTTAAGGATAGGCAGATGTCAATACAATTCCTTAAACCTCATAAGGAACTTAATTTCACGTCTTTTTATCTTTCATTACTTACTGTCCAGGTGTCCAAGTTTGAGATCTCCTGGCAAAATACCAGTAATGATAAATTATTACTTGCTTCAAATATGCACTTATTAACTCAAATTAGGACACATTAGAAAAAATATATCTTTTACATAAAGTTAAACAATTAATTTCAAAGAACTGCAGTTTTGGCAAAAAATTTTAAAAACCACTAAAATTAAAAGTTCTAAATCAATAATGTTTTACCAGCCTCAGATTCTTCCCCCAAGTCCCCAAAAGAGCAATATGTGACTGTAATAATTAAAGACCACCTGGGCCAGGCATTTAGCTCAGTGGTGCTGCTGCCAACCTTGCAAGCGTAAGGACCCAAGTTCGTTACCTGGTATCAAAAGAAAAAAAACCTTAAAACTCACATACAGCTCTTACATTGCCTGTACTTCTGTAATTAAGTTATGTCGGTATTTACTTATAACACCTCTGGTGCTTTATAGGTGGCTTGCGTTTGAAAATACTGTCAATTTCCACAAAGTGTAGAGTTTGGCATTTAAAACATTTATTGCACCTATTTTAGATTCAAGGACTTAACACCCATTAAATCACTTAAAATATTCACTTAGCTTTTCTGAGATAACTGTCCCTCTCCCCCAAGCAAACAAGCTGCCAGAAGAAAGCAAAATAGTAAAGCATGTTTTATAAGAAACAGCTGAAATGTCCAACTCTCACTCATCTACACTTGGCAAGAATTAGATGTCACTTTGCTGCTCACAAATATGTCTGCTTCTCCAAGTTACCTAGTGCCTGCCAATAATGCAGTTATCCTTCTCAATGGGGAAAGGCTCAGAGCAGTGGGCCCTGCCTGTGACAAGGCAAAAACAAAAGGCACCCGTAGAAGAAAAAAGGGACTCCGATTCTTAAGTACAAAATACTCTATATTCTTACATTCCACAGTAATGAACTTTCCATAATTACAAGTCTAACAACACACGATAGAATTAAACCAAGACAATCATTTCACACTTCTTGAAATAATTTACAATTAAGACATGCTTAGTCATAAGTCAAATTCGGCTATTAGGTTGCTCTTAAGGGAGGCGAGACCTTCATAAATAACAGAGAACAATCAGTTAATCTGTAATCCGATGCGGTTTATAATCCTAGACTTAACACTCAAAGAGCAATTTTACTGCTCTACTGGAAGTTCACATTTTTCAAGTTACAATGGATGAGATTTTGATTTGACATTTTTTCCAAAGTCGTTCCTTCAATTTTTTAGTCCTGTTCTTGAAAATCACCCCTTCAAGGCTAGCATAAATGACTATCACATGGGGGGGGGTGAACCCAAAACATTTAAGGGACTCGAAATTCTGACTCTACTTTTTAAACAGAAGGCATTTCTTGTGACACAGAAACACTGATTAAAAAACAACCACCACCACCAAACCTGAAGCTTCCACTGAAAAGTGAACGAAAAAAGACGAACATTCGATCACTTTAAAAAGCCAGACACCTGGAGCTTTCTTAAAGTTAGGACTCCTCAAAGTCACGCCACCACAACGACGACATTTGTCATTACACTGGGTGTTTCAGCGGCTCCAGGCCGGGTGGCAAAATAACGCAACGAAATACTGAGAGATAAAGAAAGCAGGCTGTTGTGGGCAAAAACTCGCCGGCGGCAGATAGGACGGGAAGCTCCGGACGCCAGAGGAGAGCAAGCAAAGCGCCGAGGCCCCCTGGGCCGCCACTACCACCGCCCTCACAACACAAAGCAGGCAGACACGCCCCG